GGGGAGGGGAGAAGGGGGAGGGGAGGACAAGGAGGGTAGATCCTAGCAGACATCCCAGATACGTGTGTAGGGGGTGCGGGGGGAGGGGTGTGTGGCAAGAACAAAGGAGACATGGGCTTGCACAGTAGGAAAGAGTGAGAAAGGGGGCTGGCTGCTGTGAGGGGTCTCCTGGTGAGTCGAATATAGGATGGATACAAAAAGCTGTCCTTTATCTCCTTCACTGTGGTTGGGACTGGCTGTATGGGACAGGAAAGGGTTGCTTGCAGCTGAGGCCACTGCTCTGTACTGTGTTTTCAGAGAAAGATCTGGCACTGGGACTTCTGCAGACAGCAGCGGCTCAGCTCCTCCCCAAGTCCCTGTCTTCCATTCCAGCAGAGAAGCTTCTGAACCAGCTTCAAGAACTTCAAGAGACTCCTCAAGAGATGCAGCAAGCACCCTACAGGTAGGCTCCAGGCCCCTCACCTGCCCTCTGTTCCCAGAATACCTCCTGGGAGGTCAGCATCTATCTGCCTAGCTTAGTTGGCCTGCCTGGAATTCCAGCACTCCAGCTGGGAAAGAGAAAGGGAATCCCAAGAGCAAGCAAGACCAGCCATATTGGCTGACTCTGGGTTCAATCAGGGAATAAAGTGGGGAGCATTTACATGGGTGCTGGGGTCCTGGAACTCTGGTCCTCACACTTGTGTAGCAAGCAAATGTTTTCTCTACTGAGCCATCTCCTCAGCCCAACACTGAGGATTTTGAAACAACAAAATGAGAGGGTTGGGAAAAGCCATCCCAGGAAGCAGGAGGTTAGGGGCCCAGGCTTGGCAGTCAGGAATGAGCACACTGCAGGGAATATAGAAGTTTGGGGCACTGGGAAATGGCCTAAGTGGCTTAGGTTAGTGGAAGGGTTTTTGTTGTTTGGAGTTTAGGTTTGTTTTCTTGGCTTTGTTTTATTTTTTTTTTTATCCTGTCTATGTGAGACAGGATCTCACATAGACCAGCCTGGCCTCTAACTCATTATGTAGCCAAGGATGACCTTGAACTCCTGATCTTCCTGCCTCTACCTCTTGAATGCTAGGATTACAGACATGTGACACTATGCCCTGGTCATACAGTACTAGAGATGGAACCCAGGGCTTCATGCATGCTAGGCAAGCACTCTAACAACTGAGCCATACCCCAGTCTAAGGCATAGTTTCTTGCTCTGGCCCTGGCCCTGGCCTTTTTCTTTTTGAGAGGGCAGAGGAAGGGCTGGGGCTGAGGCTCATTACTGTACAATAGGACAGGCCCTGGGTTTGATTCCTAGCACCGCAACAGCAATAATAGTCTAGAGGAGGAAGGGCCTAGTGAGGAGGGCAGGCATCACTGTGAGCTTGGACAAGCCACCCCCAGTCTGCTAGGCTCCCTTTCACCCCTTCCCTAAAGCTTCTCCCAGAGTTGTTGGGGGAAAGCACATGGGCATGTGAAAAGCTACCATAGCATATGGCCCATACAGGTAGAAGAATGTTGCTTCCTTGTCAGGGACCAGCTTGAGATGCAAGGGGCTGAGGGGAGGGCCATGACCGTGACTGCCCCTTATAACTCCAGACAGGAGGGCCTTGTATCCCAGTGGCCAAAGCAGATACAGAATCATAGTTGTCTGGTTCCTGCTTCTGGGATGCAGGGAGGCCACCTAGGTCAATCCATGAACAGTCCCAAACTGGCTCTTCAGGAGGGGTGACTCACCTCTCCTGGGAGTGAGCAGCTGACTGAATCTATGCCACCTCCCACCTCATGCCCACCTGCCATCCGCAGCTCTGGCCTCCCAAACCTGTCCTTTATATTTGATTATAGTCCATCCCTGAAGAAGATGAGGACACCACCTTTATCCAAAGTCGAAAAACCCAGTAAGAGCCCATATAGGGAGTCATTCTGGGGGCCCACTGAGGCTAGCTCTGGCTGGGTTCCTGCCCTAGGAAGCTGCTTGGTTCACCTCTTCATCCAGCAAACATTTTTTTGCATCTCTACTATGTGCCAGGTGCTGGGGAGTCACTGGGGGAAAAATTCAAAACAAGTTCTGATGTCACAGGACTTGCATCTTAGAGAGGAAGAGTATAAAGGACAGAGACCTCTGAGAAGACAGCGCCTGTAGGGAAAGTTAAGGAGGTGAATGAGGTGGGGGAGAGGAGCAGCAGGTGGGATGGGAGGAGGGCTTCCTCCCATTGAAACATAGAGACTCTGCCCAGGAGGTGCCTATAAGCAGTGTTCCCTCCTTCCAGCCTGGTGTTGGAAGAGCAAGCTGGCCAGAGTGTCCAGGGCCCTCTGGGTGATAAGAGGTGAGACCAGATAGGCAGATAGGGTCAAGAGAGAGTGGGACACAATAAAGGTTATAAGCAAGGTGTGTGATATGTATCTGTGGCTGTTGCATGAGGCATAAATGGGGTGGGATGGCAGGAAGGGATTAGGGAACCCAGAGAGAAAACCCCTGCAGTGGCCCAGAATGGGGACAGCAGCAGCTGGGGTAGACAGAAGAAGACAGTTGTAAGCAGTGGACATGATTCTCCGGTATCAGAGTCCTGAGTACCCAAGAGAGCATCTGGCATGCAGTAGGCACTTGATAAATGTTTGCTAACTGGATGAGAAATGAGTAGGGCATGGTGAGGCCCAGAGAAGGGAGTCCCGGATCCCCAGCTGAGTTAAAGTCAAGCTGGCCTTGATTCTGGCCTCCCTTCCAACCTACTCAGTCACTGTCTCTCCCCTCCCCCAGAGAGCATGGGCAAAGTCCAAGTCCTCCACGTGCATCCCAGTGAGGACTCAGAAGATAAACCAACTCAGAAGTCAAAGACTGAGGGTTGAAGAGCCCACCGCAGAGCTAGAAGACTTCTACCAAGCTCAGAGGCAGCTTCTGAGCTCCAGAGGCAGGCTCCTGCCCTGCCACCTCAACACCACCCTGGTCTCTCACCACACTACTAAATAAAAGCCTGTCTTCCCTGAATGAAAGCACTTCTACCCTCCAGCAGGGGCACCTCGATGCTTAGATGGTTTGTTCTAGAAGAGACAAGCACAGGGTTCTATCATATCCCAGCCAGGGATACCGCCTATGTCAGGGAACCCTCAGACTCCTTCACACAATATTACCCAGTACTAAGTTTCTTCCATATGTCAAGCCCTGGAACAGCAACATGTGAATTGTTCTGTTACTTATATGTAGTTCTATATCTCCCACTCCTGAAAACCCAATGGGGCCTAATATGATTACCACAGTGCTATTTTGTAGATGAATAAACTGAGCCTCAGGTGAAACAACTTGTCTAAAGTTGCACAGGAAGTGGGGGAGTCAGGATCCAAACCCTAAATGTCTGTCTCTAGAAGCCCTGCTTGTAACTGCTGTCTTTTATAGTAGTCAACAAGCAGTGAGCCTCCAAAAGCATTGGGTTAGGAAGCTAGTGTCTGACAAAATCAAGATGGGAAGACACATTGTATAAATGTGCCCCAGATGAGATAGCCTTGACCCTGTCGGAAGTTCCAAGTTTACCTGTGAGATTTATAGATGTTCACCATCACACCTGGCCAATTCCTTTCAACGTGAATCTGGGGGGATACAAGCATTCAGACCATAGCACCCACAAAACAGTAACTCCCCTCTCAGCCCCTGGCCACAACTTTCAACCTTTATATTTTCTGTGTCTGGGTATGGGGGCAGTGCCTAGGTGTATCATAGTAAAACCATCTCATGTAAAATCATCTTTTACATTGTGTGTGTGTGTGTGTGTGTGTGTGTGTGTGTGTGTGTGTGTGTGTGTGTGTGTGTGTGTACACACAGACGCCATGGCACGTGTGTGGAGGTCAGAGAACAACTTGGAGTCAGTTCTCCTCTTACCATGTGGGTTTTAGAGGCTGAACTCAGGTTTTCAGGCTTGGTAGCAGTCTCTCTACCTGTTGAGCCACCTTGCTGGTCCTAGAATCATCTTTGTCCTTTTATGTGGAACTTATTTCCCTGGATATAATATCCTCAAACATGTTGTGACCTTTGCCATAATCTGCCTCCTTTGTTTCTACTGATGCAGTAGTTAAGCTTCCTCTAGCCTCTGTTCCCAAGTTCTCTAGTCCCAGGCTGGCCTGTCCACTCATCAAAAGCTGTCCATTCATAGTGCAATGGCCTTGTTCTTTGGCAGCTGGAGATGTAATACTATAGCCCTCCTTCACTACAAATACTTTTCAAAAGAATCCACATAGTAAAAGAAGCCTAGACGATATTTGCTTCCAGAATAAACCATGAAAATCCTGGCCTGCCCCTCCTAATTTTTCAGGGTGTATTGCTATGTGGTGAATACCTCTCACTATACATTCTCATTTATTTACTTTGGTTCATGGCGTCAGTTCATAGTGGTCCCATTGCTGTGGGCCTGAGGAGAGGTGGAGCAAAATAGCCACCATGAGACTGCTCATGTGACCAGGAAGCAGGGAGAAGAACAGAGAAGAGCCTGGGACAAGATATAGCCCCTAAGGACATGCCCTCATTGATTCACTTCCTCCAGCCAGTCCTCATTTCAGAAAGTTCCCATCACCTCCCAATAATACAAACCCATCAATGCAATAATCCATGGATTAGGCTGGAACTCTGACGATAGAATCATTGGGAGTTGATTGGAGGTTTAACCAACATGGGATGTCCATGCCTCTTCTTCCAAAGTGGGCATGAAAACCAGCTCTATTTAACCACAGCCCCATCCTTTGGCACAGGATTGACTCATAGGGAAGATAAGCTTGTGACCTGAACTAAGCCAACCACAATGTGACCTTGGGAAGTTTTTAACCTGAAGTTTCAGCAGCTGTTTTCTACCATTGGTTGCCACCACTCCATGGAGACAGAGCACTGGACTCAGTCCCCCCTTACATTCTTGATTCTCTCCATCCTTTCCCACGTGTGAGGAAGCATTAGAACACCAAGTATTGACTTTTATGTTTACTTCTTACACAAAACTTACCATAATAGCCATGTTTAAGTGCAAGGCTCAAGTCACATCAAGAACATCTACACTGCCATGCAGATATCTTCCTGTCATCTCCAGAGCTCTTCATCTAGCAAAACGGAAACTCTGTTGCCATTAAGCACACACTAGGTTCCCGTCCCTCCTGCCAGGCCTTGTTCTTTGTTCTGTGTGTGTTTGGCTGTGCATTTGAGTCACACAATATTCATTTCTTCCTGACGGGCTTATTTCACCTAACAAGTTTTCAACGTTAATTCATGTAGCATTTCCTCCCTTTTGAAGGTTAAATAATATTCCATTGTATAGACAGACCTCATTTTTTTGTGTGTATGGTGCTGGGGATGGAAGGCCGGGCTTTCACTAGGCAAGTGCTCTACCATTGAGCTACATTATCTGCCTGTAAACCAAACTGCTTATTTATCCACTGATGCATGATATTAGGTGTTTTCTACTTTTGCTTCTTGCAAATAATGCTGCTATGGACCCTGGTTTAACAAAGTACAGTGATTAATTTCAGTGTTACATGTCAACAAAAGGATCCAAAATAACAAGATTATATATCTGGAAAGTGAAGGATCTAGAACTAGAACCTGACTCGTCAGAGTTATTGCTCTCAGTGCCTGACAAGAGCCCTTCATTTATTCCTACTGTACCATGGCCATCTCCCCACCATGAATTTTGTTACGACTGCTTATCACTTATACTTTTCTTTATATTTACCCTTTTCAAACTGTTAGATATAACTTTGTCCCAAGTAATAGTATCCCTGCATCATGGTTTTGGTGTATTATTTGTAAGTTTCTCATACACATGAAAATTAATATAAATGTAATATATTTTAGACATTCCTCTGGGGCCAGTGAGATGGCTCACTAGGTAAGGGTACTTGCTGTCAAGCCTGATGACCTGAGTTTGATCCCAGGATCCACATGGAAGAAGGAGAGAACTGACTCCCCTAAGTTGCCTTCTGACCTTCACACATACACTGTGGCACATGCGTGCCCAATTACACACACACACACACACACACACACACACACACAAATATAATAAAAATAAAATAAAATGTTCTTTCCCATCACCTAAGTTCATCCAGTCTACCACCAGAATATTCTGGCCACACGTTGGAGAGTGTTGATTAGGACAGATTGTAAGGTGCTATTACAGTGAAGATGATCTCTGGGACTTGGTGTGTGGACACACACACAGTAGGAGTGCCCCAGTTCCTGGCCTCTCCCATCCAGTCAGCTTGCTCATCAGGTTCTCCTTGTTCCACTTCAATTGGTAAGAAAAAGGACAGAAACACATTTTGAGCAATGGTGAGAAAGTTTGTCCCACAGTCAAACCCTCCATGGGAATCCCCATGGTAACATCCACAGGAAGGAGTCCAGCCTCTACTTGGATGATTCCAGTAATAGTGATCTTATCTGGGGTGCTACTTTTCCAACTTAGCTGTACCCACACAGCACCAAGGTCAAGTGTGCCCCCTCTTCCCCTAGCCATCCAAGTTTGCTCTTGTCAAACCTCTTTTATGTCTCAATCAGACCACACCCTCTTTCTAATCTGTATATTTTTTGTTTTATTTTTCTTGTCTGTTTACATTAATGGGTCCTTTCTAAGAGTTGTATTAAATAATTAAGATAGTGGGCACTTTAATATTATATTAATAGCATGTCTCATTTTTCATCATCAAGCATGACTTTGTTTATATATCGAATATATACATACACATCCTCATAAAGCTGTGTGAAGAAGCACCCAGCAGGGGGCTGGAGAGATGGTTCAGCATTTAAGAGCACTGGCTGCTCTTGCAGAGGACCCAAGTCTGGCTCCCAGTGGCAGCTTACAACCACCCATAACCTCAGTTCCAAAAGGCCTAATGCCCTCTTTTGACCTCCATGGGCATTGTATGAACATAGAGCATCTTCATACATGCAGACAAAGCACTCATGCACATAAAGTAAAATTCTAAAAAGAAGCATCCTTCAATTCATTATTTTAGACAGGGCCTCACTATGTAGTTCTCCTATGTTTTGTTTTTGTTTTTTTGAGACAGGGTTTCATATAATCCAGGCTGTCTGCACATGACCTTGAACTTTTTTTATTTAACTTTTTAAAAATTTTTATTTTTATGTGTATGTGTGTATTGCCTGCATATAGGTAAGTGCACCCATGTTGTACAATGCCCACGGAGGTCAGAAGCTGTCGGATTCCCTGGGACTGGAGTTACAGACAGTTGTTAGCTGCCAGGTGGGTGCTGGGATTCGAACCCATGTCTTCTGCAAGAACAACCAGTGTTCTTAACCGCTGAGCTATCTCTCCAGCCCCATGATCTTGAACTCTTTTGATCCTTCTGCCTCTACTTCCTGTGTGCTGGGACCATAGGCATGTACCACCATGCTAGCCTTTTTTAAAAAAATATTTTATTTTTATTTTATGTGTATGAGTGTATTGTCTGCATGTGTGTAAGTGTATGTGTGTCGTGCAATGCCCGTGGAGGTCAGAAGAGGGCATTGGATCCCCTGGAACTGGAGTTACAGATGGTTGTTAGTTGCCATGTGGGTGCTGGGATTCAAACCCAGGTCCTCTGCAAGAGCAGCCAGTGCTCTTAACCGCTGAGCCATTTCTCCACACTCCCTGAGCCAGACCTTTTTGTTTGTTTGTTTTTGAGACAGGCTCTCTCTGTAGCCCAGGCAGACCTAGAACTTGTTGAAGTAGCTATATAGACCAGGCTAGTCTTGATCTCACAGAAATTCACCTGCCTCTGCCTCCCAAGTGCTAGTATTTAAAGGTGTGTGCCACTGCACTCCGCTTAGCCTTTATCTTTCTTTTTTCAAAGGTTTATTTTTATTTAGTGTATGTGAGGGTTGGGGTGTGCAAATGAGTTCAGGGTCCCTCAGAAGCCAGAGGCCACTGGCTCTCCCGGAGCTGGAGTTACAGGCAATTGTGAGCTGCTCAATGTGGGTTCTGGGAACTGAACTCGGGTCCTCAGCAAGAGTAGTATATGCTCTTAACCCTGAGCCATCTCCTAGGAATCTTAGGAGGTAGACACTACAGTTAGAATAATTAGTTAAGGAGCTTAAAGAAGTAATTTGTGGGCTCAGGAGATGGCTCAGTGGGTAAAGTGCTTGGCATGCAAGTGTGAAGATTTGAATTTGCATCCCTGGAACCCACATAAAAGCTGGGCACAGTCACACACATCTACAATCCTGCACTCCTATGGTGAGATGAGAGACAGAATTCCCTGAAGCTTGTGGGCCAGCTATCCTGGTGTACACAGCAGCA